TTGAAAATCTCCGAGGGACGCGTTTTACTAATTGCAATTTTCATCCCTCATACAACTACAATTGACTCTTTATAATATCTAAATTAATATGCGGATGATCGGATGTGATGTCACTTGCACAATATGTGCCGTATAAATTTTTATTTGTACACACACGAAAGCAACTGAAGGTGATTTCATTAATTAAAACATTCCAAATAAAAGAGTGAAATCAGGATTTCTAATATTTTTTAACGTCTCAACTTCGGAATGTCTAATCGCAACAATCATTTGAAATATCTTAACTTTCTGCTTTATTCTGTTTCAATGACACCAAGATTTCTAACGCTTGGGCGCAACTCCTTATCGCCTCACAAGTCTCCTTGATATTCGGATTCATGATGATCCCGAGATCCTCAGTCATAAGCTTCAAATAATCTGTCAATCCCCGAAGTGATGATGACAATGAGGAAATTGATTCTTGCAATGTATCATTTGACATTGAATTACCCAATCTTGTTTCGCTCGATGATATATGGACTTGCGCATCACTCGCATTTTCAAATTGCAAAGTGGACTGAAATTGAGTGAATTGTATATGAAATTTGCAAATGGTTGGTTAAATCGAATACTCAATTCCAAAGTCGTGCTCGTTTGTTTTCCGTAAACTAATGGTGAAATCAAGAAGATAACTTTTCGTTGCCGTCTCTGATCTCTTCTGTAATTGCAATTTACCCGACTAATTAATCATATCTTGGTAAAGATAATACGTACCGCAACATCCTTGGTATCGATGTCGTGCTTAAGTCCTGTAGGCGACCTACCTATTTCCGACTGAGAAATGCCATTTTGGATGATCCTGTGCTTTGTGAGATCCAAATCCGACTCGTTTAAATAATAATTCTGACAATTTACACAATACTTTTTCTTGTTTCGATCGCGAATCAACGGTACCTAAAATTATCTCTTGGGTTAACATATTTATTTGATTTACCTTATATGGTGTCAAATAGATCATTCGCCTCGCTTACCCCGAAACACGACTCGTTGGGGCAAATCTCGTCAATCAAAGCCCAGCCCGATAACAAATACTGTCCAATTGATTGTGAGGCACGCTGTGATTGTTCCCTTCGCGATCGTTGTTCGTCTTTAATTATCTCTCCTGAATTGTGGGCCGGATAAATTGGTGGAAAATGCGAATTCGATAAATCCGTTTCTTGTCCATTAACTTCAGCAGCTTTTGACAAAATATCTTCAATATTATGATTT